ATTGCCCTATCTTGATCAGTGATAATTCCATGAGGAGTTTGACCGTGCATACACTTAAGCCATGTCCTGAAAAGCTAGACGAAGGTATCCGTATTCTCATTCGAGATCAAACCACAACCTAGAAGTGTTGATTGTCCGTGGTGATTGACACCAACAAAAGGTGCGAAAGGCATGTTATATCTGTTAGTCAAGTAAGTGGTATCAAACGTGACAACGTTCCCGAACTCCTTATATGCTTTCCTACATCAATTTTCTGCCCAAAATACATTCCTCAATCGCCAATCGTCATCCAGATCCATACAGAAGTAAAATCTCGCACACCTTGTTTGCATATCTGAAAAATACGACTGTATTGCTACTGCATCGCCCTCTCCAATGCTCAATCGCCTAACTTGTTCAATGTAGTTTCAACAATCCTTCTCCACGCTTGTCATATTTTCATATCCACCCGCTTCAACAATTTCAGAATTGAAACTTTTATGCAATGGAATTCCAGCCATGTCATTCACTTCAAGCTTTCGTTTCACACTTACACTGAATTCTCGATTGCACTGATACAATCTCGACTTCGTTGGACTTGTTTTGTGATTGTGGTCGAGGTGTACCGTGTTAATTCTCCAGTAACCATGATCATCTGAAGATGCGGAGATTCGAGCTTTGCAACCCGTTTGTATTATTGGTTGCGGCTTCAATGAGCTGCTTGTGCTACCGCTTCTTTGACCTTCACGGCTGCATGTGAAAGTCGCATATCGTATAACTCCATCATCGTCCTTTCTCGAATTCTTTTTCCTCACCGGAAAACCTACACTGTAAGCATATGATTTGTACAAATCAAAGACTTCATTTATGTCCTTGAACTTCATACCAACCTCCGGCGCAACAACTACATTCATATTGTATTCCGTGTTGGCATTTTCGGTTTCCACCAATGGGTCATTTTCGACGTCTTCCATCACGTATTCTCCTACAGAAAAAGTACCATACACTTTTAGCATATCAATTTCATATTTAAAGCAACATATTGATTTCAACATAATCGAAAATTGACAATAGCAGCCGTTCATTGTTTACAATTTCATCCGCACATATTCAGTCACCTACAATTTCATTCGCACATATTCAGTCACCTAATATGGAGGTAGACGTCTATACATGTTCTAAAAAAATCACGTCACACATTCGGGATACATGGGAGGTTGAGTAAGAGAGAAATTAGAGAAATCTTTACCCAAAATTAGTGTGCAATTTGACTCCTTTTTTTGGGCAACTGGTAAGAAAATCTGAAATCGATCTCACCCAAATTTGCTTCAAAAATCGACTGCCATCGAACCGTTGAGAAATTCTGAACTCGAACAATGCCGGATCTGTTTGTCAAACTAGCTCCGGGAATTTGGTCTGAATAAGCAGTAAACCTTGCCATTGAATTTTGGGTGCCTCCAATTTTTGAGTTATCACGGTTAATTGCAAGCTGGATTTTAGAAATCAAAGCTTTGCCTTCAAATTTTGTTCAGCCTGCAATTTTTGACTTTTTAGGGGTTGTGGGTTTTTGAGCTTGTCTCATTTCCCGAATTGTCATGGGCTTGTCTCATTTCCCGCTAATTAATTCGTTCTTGCATCTCAGCCGTTCAACTCTTTGCCTCTCATCCGTCCACGTCATGTTGTCATCTAGTGTTGTAAGCCACAAGTAGCGGTGTCAACGAGCCGAGTCGGGAAAAAAAAGCTCGGGCCGAGCCCGAGCTTTTTTGGATCGAGCTTTTTTCGGCCCGAGCCGAGTCGGGCCGGGCCCGGCAAAAAAAAAAAGGCTCGGCCCGAGCTTTTGGCTCGAGCCTTAGCGGGCCGGGCAGAGTCGAGCCCGGGCCAAGCCGGCTCGGGTTTTTTATTTTTTTTAACCTACATTTTTTTAAAAAAAATTTATACATCTTATAAATTAAAGAAATTATAAGAGTTAAAACCCTCCTCCTTTATCCGGGTTTGGGACCGGCTACAATTATCGTAGGCGGAGTTAAAGAAATTGAATATTGCGTAAAGAAATTTGAGATAAATTGATTGATATGAATTTGTAAAATGTTCCCCGTATTTATAGACAAAAAAATTCATCCGTTTTAACTATATTTAATTTAAAAATTCAAATTTTTGATAAGACAATACGATTCAAATTTAAATATCTTGGTGCGTGCACTCGAGCGAAAAAATTGCGTGCACACTATCGTGCAAGCTAAGCTAAACAGCTGCCCACGCAGCAATAGTAGCTGCCGTGCGGCAGCTACAATTTTGTAGCTGCCACAGGCAGCCCAAACTTTGAATTNTTTGTAAAATGTTCCCCGTATTTATCGACAAAAAAATTTATCCGTTTTAACTATATTTAATTTAAAAATTCAAATTTTTGATAAGACAATACGATTCAAATTTAAATATCTTGGTGCGTACACTCGAGCGAAAAAATTGCGTGCACGCTATCGTGCGGCTGAGCTAAACAGTTGCTCACGTAGCAATAGTAGCTGCCGTGCGGCAGCTACTTTGTAGCTGCCCACAGGCAGCTACAATTTTGTAGCTGAAATTGTAGCTGCCACAGGCAGTCCAAACTTTGAATTCAAAAAGTTTTAAATTTTTTTTTTTTTAAATAATAGTGCTACACGGGCCGGCCCGGGCTCGGGCTGTTGCCCCAAAATGGGGCTCGGCCCGAGCCCCGTCCGAGCCGCTGAGCTTTTTTGCCACCCCTAGCCACAAGTGTACAAGTAGCTTTTTCCAAAGAAAACGACGTTGTTGGATACTATTAATAGTTGATCATGGGAGAGAAGATTTATTGAATGAAAACTGTAAGTAGCCAATAAAATGGACCCACATAAAATAATAATTACAAAGTATTATTGAGGGTGCAACAACGTTCTTAACTATAAAAACTATACAATTGCTCTCGTTTAGTAGATATTAAAATCAGATTTTAAACAAATTTTGATAAAAACTAATAAAATGTGTGGTTGAAAAGTTGTAGATCCTATAATATATGTGATTAAAATTGATTATTGATTTTAATTTTAATAAAAATTAAGATTATAATTTTCAACGAACAAGACATTATGTACAAAACGTTTTTTAGAGTCAAATCATTTTCTCAAGAGTCATGATATTGTCCCCACAGTGCCTACTATCAAGTTGACATGTGACGTCTTGATGTAGAGAAAATAATATGAACGAAGAACTAGCTCATTGAATAATTGATTTTAATCATCAAATTGTTGATACCTAATATAAAAGATGGTTTAGATCAAAATAATTGAAAATCTTCAATTTTCTGCAATATTATTAAGAAAAACAACCAAACTCTCAAGGAGAGTTAAATAGTATGAGCAAACTATACAAGGAAATAAAAACTAAAATGTAAGCATATTTAACTAATAACAACAATTAAAGTGAAATTCAAGCAATTAAAGTTGACTTGATTATTGGAGTTGAATCGATCCTTACTAAATTCTGACGGACCAAACTCACTAATAAATGAACAAATTTCGACGATTTAAATTTTAAATTACTTCACTTATTATCTTATCCTGAATAAGAATACTAATAATAAAGTTCTATATTATTTGCATGGTTAAGATTTACTATTTTGCAAGGAAAAAAATACTTAAAATTGTCAATGTTAGAAAAATCTGGGTTACGTTGTTTTTTTCTTATAAGGTGGTCGTGACAATCAAATACCAGGTACCCAACTATTCCACATTTTGTTTGTATTAGACCAAATGCTTTGCAATTACCGCTTAAACTATATATTCATGTAAAATAATAAACAAAATATGAGAAAGAATACTAAAAGGAATATGAGAAATTGTATAATTGTTTTGTCTATTAATTATTTATAGAGTTAACGTACTAACTTAAAATGAAAGATCCTATAGTGTCGTCAAATTGTAAATTTTTTTCTTTTTACGTATTAGCCCGGTCTATAATTTGGTCCTGGATCCGTCCCTGCTCAAACTCAAAATCTGTCTCATCAAAAATATATTGCTATTTAATATAATATTTTAGGATTCAATTTTATTTTTTGAATTGTTCCATTGTAATTGTGGGTTGTCATTGGTAGTTTAAATTTTCTTAAATTTATTACATGAGTCAAGTAATGGTTCTTTATTTTTGGGTGGAAATGTTCAAGTTTACATTGTATTTAAGCCGAAGCTGATAAATAAAAGGTGCAATGAATCATTTTTGCAAACAAATTTTGTATTATTGATTCCTTCGTAAACTAATATTTTGGGATGATCGAATATCCTCAGACTAAACTACGTATTTCGCTATTTTTTTCCTATTCGTTTCATTCTTAGTTACAGAGAGTTTGTGTTCGTAATAGTCTGTATGATCGCTGCAGAAAGACAAAAACAAAACAAAGTAGTCCCTCTGAACAATAAAGTGCAAACAAAAAGACTTGCTCAAGGCAATGTGCATGCATTTATTTTGCATTTAAGCAATATTTGATTTAATCCTACAGACTTCAACATCCATTTGAGGATGATTCCTTATCAAAAAGAGCTTCTGAAGGGGGATAAAGATCGCAGTCCTTCGGAGGTTCGCTTTTGCTCCTTCCATTAGCTCGTTTACTCGTTTGAGGGACATCTCTTTCATCATCCCTTTCGCATTGGCTTTTCTTCTTTTCCTTGGGAGTGTCCTGCAGACTTCTTGGAACTTCATAAAGGATAACACTGCCACCTCCACTCTGTAGAATTGCCTCTTCTCGACCCCCTTCTTGTGTTGTAAGGATCTCAAGTGTTTCGACAATTTGACTCATGACGGGTCTCCCTTTCGGATTTTGGCTGAGACATTGATATGCTAGGTTGGCCACCTTCATGAGAACTTTAGTCGAGTATTGCCCTTCAATTCTAGGATCCAGAATTCTCAAAAGCTTCCTACTGTGGTTCAGGAGTGGGCGGGCCCACTCAACAAGGTTATGCTCTCGACTAGGCTTGCTCTTATCCACTGCTCGCCTTCCAATAAGCACTTCAAGTAAAACAACTCCAAAACTATAAACATCACTTCGAGAAGTTAAATGTCCTGGACAATTGTATAAAGAAGAAAAATCAATAAACCACCATTGTATACCAGTCACGATGATCATCACACAACTAAATTCCAGCATCAAGTAAAACAAGCTACGTTCCTCAGTGAAGTTAAGAGTTAAGTTGCCTAGTGTTAAGAAAATATTGGGGTCGTCACAAACATGTTTTGGTAAGGTGGATTATTCAGCATTTGATGGTAATAAGGAAGCATTAGCAGTTTGCTATCATAAGACTCACCTGTCATGAGATACTCTGGAGCAGCATAACCATAAGTTCCCATAACTCGAGTTGACACGTGAGTTTGATCTCCAGTGGGACCAATTCTTGCCAGTCCAAAATCGGAAAGTTTTGCATTGAAATCCTGCGTGTTTTAGTAACACTTTAGCAATCGAAAGATTCGTGTATACATTAAGGTAAGAATTCTATGCATTTATGTACAGAACCACATAATGATAGTCCATGTTTATCCTAATAATTTATATCAATAGAAAGACAGCTCTGAGAATCAGATACAGAAGAGGACCAATTATAGATGGTCTTGTGATTGAGGGGAGTCTTTTAAGGTCTAATGAGTCCACGAGTAGGAGTATTATTTACAGAAATTTTTGAAACAGTTTTTGATTTTAATATTTTTGGGGGCGATAGATTGACAGCCATTGTAAAACTTTTTAAAAAATCTTATGAAATGAATTTGATGAACAGAAGATTCATGAAGGGATAAAAAAGAACCGCTGCATACCTACATAACCAGAATGGAAACTTACCGAATCTAGCAAAATGTTTGAAGTCTTAAAATCCCGATATATAATAGGCCTTTCCACATCATGAAGAAAAGCAAGCCCTCTTGCAGCATCCAGAGCAATCTTCATTCTTCTATGCCATGTTAAAGTGACACGCACTCCTAAAAGTGCAATAAAATTAAAATAGTTGTAAAGATGTAGATCCAATGGGATCACAGAAACTAGTGCAATGGTCAAAATTGGATTCGGTAGAAGAATAGAATATCAAGCATAAATGATCAATTTAACTTGGAAAATTCTCAATAAGATAGAACTGCGTGTATAACAACAAAGCTCCACACAGATGGTTATTTATGTTATCAGACTTCTGTGAGGTTTTGGATGCTGAATTAATGAGCCCATTAAGTGATACTGAGCCCAAACTAAAAGTTTAAGCCCACAACCGGATGGCCCAGCTAATGGAATTCTTTAGAATGCGTCTGCTGGATTTAATTAAATCAGACTTCATGGATGATTGACACCTGGTTATTGTTCTGACCGTTGGATCAAGTTGTTGAGCTATTTCATATAAATAGCTTTGCCAGACTTTTCGTCATTACTCTTGAAACCCTAGTTCTCTATCTCTCACGAATGCAATCTGCACTTGGTGATTAATCTGTAATATGTGAGAAATTTCTGAGTGATCTTTCATGTAATCAGATAGAGAGTGTTGTGGTTTATCTCTTAGTGAGATTGATCTGTAGTGTTGAGGTCTTTGTGCCGTGTTTCTTGAGTTCAAACATTCTTGTTGTTCTGTAACTCTGTTTTGCTTGATTTGGGCCATTATTAGTGGATTCGAGCTATATTCTAACGGATGCTCAACGGGAGATTAGGCGTTAGAAGTGGTCGCCAAACCTCTAGGGCCTTGGGCCAAAAATTCCTCGTGTTATCTTTATTTTTCTGCATTTACTTTGTGTACTTTGGTTAAAAATAGTTGAATCACAAGTTAAATATAATTCTCTGGGACCAACAACTTCCATGGAAGAGAAGCAAATAAAAAGCTTTCGAAATTCTTGCATAATCCAGAATGAGGTTTTCATTATGAATGAATGGAATCTAAACTTAAACTATCCATTAAAAATAATAATTACAAAATTTTAGGAATATGTTAAATAAAAGGATTCTGGAGTAATTTCACGCATAATAATTCTCTATTGTTTGAAAACTTTGTACTCACTCGAAAAGAGGTGTTTGTCCAAGCTCCCAGACTCCATATATTCGTATGCCAACAGCCTATGGTCACCTTCGCAGCAATACCCAATCAGTTTCACCAGATTCGGGTGGCGAAACTGCCCTAAGTAATTGACTTCTGCCTGCAAGTAAAAATTCAATGGTTAGCAATTGAATTTTCTTTATGAGCAATTGCACTTTTATTAGGCTGGTAACAAATGAAATATTAGAAATGATTATAGTAATGTCCAGTGTAATGCAAACCTTTTAGGACATGGAAACTTTTGGTCAGTTTACATACTATCTGACTATCTCCAGTTCTTCACAGAGAAGAAAAATAAGATAGAGAAGACTCTTCATCAAACTTGGCAAATAATTTCCTCAGATTCGACAAAATACACCATTTCGCGAATATTGGATCTGTTCGTGCATTCTGCACATCTTCATGCATATCCCTCAAGAATCTAGTAGGAATGTTATTGGATAAATAAGTGGAGGAGAAGCAAGGGAAGAGACCTCAATCGTTTGTTAGGAAATAAGGAGAAAGGGAGATTGAGATAACCCTCCTTGTCTCACATTGACACACACCCTCGACTTTATCAGAAAAGATCCCCTTTTTAGGCCAACAAGTGAATAGGGAAATCTCGAAACTACTGGAGAAGGAGAAATATTAGACAACTCGTCCCTCTATGAAGGAGATGGAAGAAGAATTGAATAATACAGAAAGTCAGAGACCAAAGCAGACCAAAGCATACTAAAATTAAATAGTAAGACTTAATTCTTCCTTCTTCCCCTCACCCTTCTACCTAACAACCTAAGAGGAGCGAGGTATCTTTTGTTAAGTTCACATTTATCCCACTTCATTTCAGCTGACAAACAACTCTTTCTTCGTCATTCACAGGTTGTAATGAATGAAAAAGATTGCAAGTCTCGTTCCAGACATAAGCATAATAAAATACCATAATATTCAACAGAATGTTCAATTAAGATAGGAGGTCCAAGCAAATTACCAGCCATTCTCGATCGCCTTGTAGACCTTCGGGATCAAGCACTTTAATGGCAACTTGAATTGTCTTGTAATCAGGCCTTACATTCTCATCTATAACTCCTTTATAAACAATACCAAATCCACCTTCACCAAGAACCTGATCTGGTCGGAAGTTCTTGGTAGCTGATTTCATCTCCTCATATGTAAAGATATCAAGATCACTATTACCAGAATTTTGGCGTAGATCCTGCACATTTTTGGAAATTGTTACAACAGAGTTTATAGTTTTTCGTTTCTCTTGAGTATCTAGCTCGTTCAAAAGGAGATAGTCTGCTTTGGTGGGAGATACATCTGCTCCATGCACCGCTGCAAATGTTCACGGAAAAGATTATCACTGAAGTTATTTAGGTAAACTAGCTCCGTACAAACCTATGCCAAACCATGATCTAAATTTATTTTCTAACAGAAGGCACAATCTAATTGAACATTGCAAATGAAAATGGTGCAATCTAATTGTTTCTGGCTAATAAGCAAAACGATTACTCCTCTTTCTTCAACTGGAGATCAAATTAAGATTCAATGAAAGTCAACAGCTCTTCTCATTAGTGTGTTAATTTCCTAATGACTAACAATGCTATTAATTACATCTATAATTTCATATTTAAAATTCGAAAAAATTACCCAAACGAACATTCTCTTTTTTGCACAATGAAGAAACAAGAACGTAAACATGAAAAACTACGAACATTAACTTTGTGGGTACTTGTTAATGTATATGAAATCTACCTGATCTGCTACTACAAGATTTGTTATTTGGTTGCTGATTGTCTTCTTCTTCAACACTGACACAAGAACCCATTTTTCTTCACTTCGCCAAATTCAAACTTCAACTCTAATTTCTGCAATGGGTTGATCACTTCATTTCATTCATCAACCAAGCCTTTCTATACACCTTGTTATCTTGAAACCCCAAAGAGGTTGCCGGAAAACAGTACGGTTTCACCGGAATTTGATATCTTCGCCAGGATATTCACAAAGTATGAATGGAATATAATTATAGTATCAAGAAAAGAGTGGGAGAGTGTGATTGAGAAGGGGAATGGGTGCTCTAACATTCTAATATTCTGATAGCAATGTGTTTATTTTCCCTTCTTAAATTTGGATTATTTGTCAATTCATTTGGCTGTTAAGAAAATTCCAAAAGCAGACAGAGGTTGACTTGGCTCGGCTCCCTGGTCTAAGTAAACCATACAATTTACCATAATGCCCCTTCTGTTTCATCGTATCGTATTAAGCCCATTTTTGAGCTACATTATTTTTTCATTCACATTCTTCTATTCATTTTCAACCACACATTTTTCAATAAAATAATATTTTCTATCACATCAATAACTTTTCTTTCTTTTTCAACCACATATTCCATATCACATAAAAAAATGTATTCTTAAGAAAAAAATGTACACAAAACAGGTTATAAAAAAGAATTTTTGTCCAACTTTCTTAAGTACTTGTGTTTTAGCACTTTGGAAGTGCTTAAAAGATCCTTACAAGCACTCCAAACATGTACTGAGTTTATAAGTCATTCAAATCAAAATTTATTACGAAATTAAATGTATGTTTTGTTGCCTTTAGAAATAACTTTTTTTTCTTACTTATAAGTAAAAGAGTACTTATTTTCGTTTCGTAATAGCACAATGAAGAAAGAGAGAACATTTTCATTTAACTAAGATATGTGCAACATATTAGATTGTAGTGGAAGGGTGAAAATTATAAATTCAAAGGAAAAAAGAAAAAGAAAACTTCAATGGTACATCAAGATTTTAAAAATTGCTTGTTATTGAACTCATTATATTTTTATTTACATCATGATTATATACTAAATTATTATTCCAGACTTTTCATACCACAAAATAATATTAAATTCAGTATATAATAAGTCAGATAAGTAATCAAACAATGAAAATTAAAAATCGACACACGAATGATAGAACTCAAAATTTTAGTTTTGAACCATTTAACTTCAATTGTGTTTGTTCTCACTGTGAATTATATTAAATTATAGAAATTTTTCTTCTGAGCAGGATAAGATTGTCCATTTGTTGATGTGATAAAAGAACGTTATTTACAATTCTCTCTCTTTAAAGTGGGCAACATAAAATTTTCTACTGTAAACAGGAGTGCTTAAACTTTTAGGGTGCAAAAAGAAAATTTGTTTGAATTACTACTTTTTTTTATATGATTGGACCATCTTGATATATTCCAAAAGAAACAAAGGTAAAAGTGGAATCCACTTTATCTTTCGCGAATGCATTAAATTGATTTCTTGACCACTCTTTGTCAGCCGCTGACTAGACAGCACATTTACGCGGTCGACACCAATAAAAACGCGGTTCCACGGACAAATACAAAGCTCCACATCATAGGATACTGGAGTTACAAACTCGATATTTTGACCCAATAATTGTTCTTTTTATGTAGTATTATATTATGACTGCTAATCATTATTTTCATGATAAAGCTCTTGACTCTATAACCACCGACTCTTTCTTTTAATATTTGGTTTAGACAAAAAAAAAAAAAACTCCAGAATTAATCATATGTATGAGTAATGTTATTAATTTCCAGTGGGATTACAAACACAATTTAGATGGCTCTAAATGATAGATTAAATGAAAAGTGAAATTGTTTAGACTGTATTTGTAAGCCCAGTGGAGATGAATAGCATTACTCTGTATGTATTTTTGATATTTTAAAATGTTTTGGGACCTTAAAAAAAGTTGTGAAATTTTTTATCCATTGCCCCCACAATAGACAAGATAAAATGTGCCCACAATTGATGTGTCAATGTCACGTCAAGAGTTGAGCCGACTTGTTGACACAACAATGTTACGTTATCTATGGGTACAATACCCATCGTGTGCACGAGATCATCCGTGTATCATATATACAATCAGATTTATTTTAATTTTAGTCGAGTTAAAAAAAAATTTATATGTCATGAAAAATATATGATACACTAAATATTTTATGTAACATTGGCATCGTACGTGAATTATATTATAATAAAATAATTATATAAAATAAGAGATAATTTTGATCAACAATAGAACAATTATAAAATTTTAATTTTTGTGCAAACCAGTTAATCATAAAACAAAATCTGATTAAAAAAAAACAAAGTAAATTTATTTTCAGAATATCCAGTATAAGTAATTGGGGAAAAAATTAATAAATAGAAACTTGGACTACATAAAAAAATCAGTAATGTATCAATAATACTCTAGATTACTACACCAAAACGAAAAAAAGGAAAAAATCAATGTTCTCCTGTTTGGCTATACTAAAGATATACAATAAATTTTGATAAAGTTGATGGAATTTTGAGGTTGAAAAATTATAAAGATCGTGAATCTCGTAAAATATATAATTAAAAATGAATTTAATGAAAGTGAATAAAAAAATGGGGATCATGAACAATTCTCTTTCTTTTAATAAATTGTTACATATATACTTAATGCTAAATTATAAAATGTAATTACCTGCTGTTATAAAAATGAAAATATAGACCAATTTATAAAGGGTTTGGGCTACTCCTCTTAGTAAGGTTGGCTTTTTAAGATTAAACCTCAAATTTTAACGGGAAAAATTCACGGGTCAAGTATTATCTTTCACAAAATCACAAA